ATACATTAAAAAAATAAATTAATTGCAAATAATTTATCCAAAATAATTGTAAATAATTAATCAATAATTAATTTTTTCAGTTATCAACAAAAATCAATTCATAATATTAAGAAAAATAAATTAATAATATTAAATGAAAAAATAAAAATATGATATATTATGACATTTTTATATCTCGATGAGAACTTCTATGAATGTTAATGTAAAATCATAAATAAAGATTGGCCTTTGACTTTTTCTTTCTCTTTATATCTAATTTCTTTAATTCTCTTTGTAGTTTTTGATCTATTTTTTGGGGTTAAAATCTCATAATCAAATCTTGAACTTCTACGTCTCTTCTATGAATTTTTTATTTTATGTGTCATTCATTTTTAATATGTAGTAGTCTCTATGAATAACCCATAGTTTCTTAAAAATGCATTGTATATTTAATATTTTTTTAGGAATTACATATTTATTTGTTTGTGTATTTTGCAATTTAAGATTTGAGAACTGAAATCATAAATACTGATATTATTAAAAAAATAATTATAAAGACATGTTTTTTTAACTTTGTCCATTAAAAAAATTAAATTTAACACGAACCTGATAAATGGGAAGCATATATACACAAGAACTTGATTAATCCTTTTAATAAAATTTCTATTCCCCTCATAATTTTTCGTCAACAAACTCAAATTTAAAACCTTATTCAACCGATCTGAACCTAATTTAATTTGAATTAATAACCTATTCCGAAAGATTCGTAGAGGTTAGTAGTTAGTTAGTCAATTAAACCGATTAGACAGTAAAATTTGTTTGGAATTTCTTGATGCCTGATTATATTGTTTGATTTAACCGTAACTAATCATGTTGACGGGTCAAAAAACTATTCCTGTTGAAGGAATTAAATCATGCATGTTGATTTTTAAATGCCATACGATGGTCCAATGGACTTTTTTGCAAGGACCACCAATATTTTTCAATGCAGTTAATTTAATTTGAATAAGGAATTAACTTGTGTAAGATAATCTACACTCAATTTTCAGTTATAATATATTTTTTGTTCTTCTAATTTCACTTATTTTATTTTTTAATTTCTATAATTTAAAATAAATATTTTTAGATTTTATATTTACTTCTTTAATCTTTTTAAGTCTTTATTGTTAAAATATAAGTAACATCATTTCTGTGTGAGTAGTGTGAATTTATTAAATTCATGTAGTGATGATTTGTTTGATTTAGTAAAGGGCGATCTGTCATTTAGTGATTTGGTAAAAAAAATGAAAAGCCTCTTTGAACAACATAAGATTTCATTTTATCTTCATCAACATGTTTGTGAAGCAAATGAGAAAAAATCTCATTAATGTCTTTCTTTATTTCACTAGATTGCAATAGTGTTGATGTTCTTGTGCGAGGAAGGAAACACTATTGTCGTAGTTTCATGATATTGCGTTATTGGTTTAGATGGAGCAAGGTGTTGTTATTTTTGGTGGACCGCAATAATGTTATTATTTTTGGTGGAGTGCCTTGATTCACCAAACTTCCTTGAACAAGACACTCAACACCACTTAGAACAATAACACTAATGAGTTTTACCAAAATTAGCAACACCATTGTGCTACACCAAAAATATCACATGCACCATGGGACCACGACATGCTCTTCCATCCATGAAGAACCTTAACACCATTGTGCTTAGCCACAACAAAAGAAATACTAGAATGAAATTTTTTTCTTGTTTGCTTAACAAGCACGTTGACAAAGATAAAAAGAAGTCTTATGTTGATAAAATAATCTTATTTTTTCCCTCCTGAACCATTAAGTGATTCATCACCGTCTATTAAACCAAACAAACCATTGTTATATGAATTTTATAAATTTGCTTCACTCATACAGAAACAACGTTACACACAAATTAATAGTAACACTAGTGCAAAAAAAGGTATTTACGTCACCCAATTTACGTCGAAAACAGTAAACACCGACGTTGTAAAAACGCGGTGGCAGTTTCATAATTAAGTGGAGACTAATTTACGTCGGACCCCCCCTAGTCCGACGTAAATGTGGGAATTAACGTTGCAGTCTCATAGTCCGACGTAAATTTACGTCGGAACAACGAAACCCGACGTAAAAAATGGCCCTATATTCCCCACCTTTGTATTTTCCATTCCCGCGCTCACAATTTACAAACAACCCCTCTCATTTTCTCTGAATTTCTGAGTCTCCCACTGCGTTTATTGCTACATTCAACGTATCCAAGTCTCTAAGTGTCTGCACGTTGGTCGTTTGAGGTTAGTTTGTTATCCCCGTAATTATTTTTTTTTTTTTGCTATTTGTTCCACTGGAACGGCCCGTTCTCCTTGCAGAACGGGACGTTCTCCTTGCAGAACGGGACGTTCTCCCTGCAGAACGGGCCGTTCTCCCTGCAGAATGGGCCGTTCTCCTTGCAGAACGGGTTGTTCTGCAAGCAGTATGGGCCATTCTGCAAAGAATTCAAAAATTAAGAAAATAATTCTAGGTGAGTCACATAAGAGCAAGTTGAGTATAAACCCTGGGGCAACAAAAATGTATCAGGATCTCAAGAGAATGTTTTGGTGGCCTAAAATGAAAAAGGAAGTAGCACAATATGTAGCTACATGTTTGATTTGTCAGAAGACCAAGATAGAACATCAAAAGCTAGCAAGAATATTAGATATACCTGAATGGAAATGGGACAGCATAGCAATGAATTTTGTAGTTGGTTTACCACGAACAACACATAAGTTTGATTTCATATGGGTGATCGTCGATAAACTAAAAAAATATGCTCATTTCTTACCCATCAACATTAGGTATTCACTAGAAAAATTGATCGAACTGTACATAAGGGAGATTGTACGACTGCATGGTGTACCATCTAGCATAATATCTGATAGAGATCCTAGATTCACTTCTAAATTTTGGGGAAGTTTACATCAAGCATTAGGAACTAAGTTTCGCCTTAGCTCTGCATATCATCATCAAACAGACGCACAATCAGAAAGGACATTCAATCCTTAGAAGATTTATTGAAAGCTTGTGTGCTAGAGAATTCTGGTAGTTGGGATCAATATCTGCCTCTAATTGAATTCACTTATAACAACAGTTTCCATTCTAACATAGTTGTCTAGAAGCATATGCTACTACCCTTCTATCTTGCATAAGAACACACCCTAATCCCATTTTTGAGGCATCACAAAATATGACAAATTGTCCATTAGGATTGGGTAAGGCTAAGACTGGTGTGGTGGTTAATCTTTTCTTAAGCTCTTGAAAACTATTCTCACATTTTTCTGTCCACTCAAAGAGTTG